GGGGACCTACACGTTATTAGGAAGGTGGTTTTAATATTGCGGCTGGTCAATGTATAGTAATATAATACACGTCTTTATAAGCACATATTGTGTAAAATATATGTTTCCTTCAAGAGACATCCTTCACTTAATATTGTGTTCCAAAATTGTAACCAAAAAACAATCTTCAATTCAGTTTACATTGTTTTGCAAGCTCAGCTATTGCTGCCTAAGTATTAAATCTCATTCGAATCACCACAACTTGCAGTCACCACAACTCCGTTGTAATTGTTCTTTCAAGAAGGACTAAAGCATTCTTTAGTTATATTTTCCTGCTATGTGTTTCAGCTGTGTTTGCAATGGACGCTGTCCAGCCTATGTCGGTGCTGATTTATGATAGCGTAGACTAGAGAGAAAAGCACAGCAGAGAACAATAGTAATCAGGCAGTTACTAAATTGCCACTGGTTCTCCTGGTACACTGCAATTTCATCAATACAATCTCCCACTCTGCACCTCTAGTGTTCCCTCTCCAAACTGCCAATCTACCCCAAATATATTAAACATGCCAAATGATCTCCCATTTGGAAAAAAAATTAAAAATCATAATTTTGTTGTTCATGCTTAAAATATTGTAATTTTACAAAAAATCTATAAAAGTATTTATGGGGAAAAAGAAATATTAGCTTTGTGTTGACATAAGAAGTTGCAGGATCTAAGCAAGATTGCAGCGTGATAATGATTGTAACTGACAGCATGTCCCAGGGTGCCACAGTAAAGGATAGCAGCAGCCTGAGCTCTGGACTACTGAATAATTAATACATCAGCCAGAAATGTCCGTGAATAATTCATGTTTGGGAAGTAGTTTTAGTAGGGTTTTTTACATCCATTCACTCTCCTCTTGACATATAAGACCGGTACAACATTTTTCATTTGCTACCGTGCTTTTTGTAGCAAACCTGTTGGAATATACACGTTTAATAATAAAATAATCTCTGATAGAGGTAAAGGGGCGATGGGACATTTGACCAGAATTGGGACTGTTCTATTGGATCTGGTGCACTTGGCAGGTATACATGTTAGACATGGAATGAAATTTCCATGCAAGGCAATATATCTGCGACCCAGATCAATCTCTCTACAGCTACTCTTGAAGTCAATATTACTCTGGAGTTTACTTACTAAGCAGTGAGCTGCTGTAACTAACTAAGCCACTAAGCTGTATTATGTAGGCACGATTAGTCAATTTGGAATACATTTACAACAATCCAGTTATTTTTTTTCTTAACTTGGTTATTATTTGGCCTTATTATTCACTAAAGGTGTCCTTAATCTGTAATATTTAATAAAATATCTTAATTACTCCATTAAAATGAAGTCACAGGCTGCAGACAACAGGAGTATAAATTGGGAGACCAGGAATATGAGCTGTGTACCGGCTCTTTATTAAGAATCATTATTTGCTGGTGCAAGATAGGCCTTGAAGTAACACCAGGGATGGGTTAATAACTATAGAGCAGAATTCTATTTGTGTTCTATTTGTGGAGCATCAACAGGATTTTTACATAAAATAAAAGTCATAGAAATGATTAGTTACAAAAGTCAGTGGAATGCAGGTAGTGGAGGTATCATCACTCACAAGATGTAGAATAGTTAATATCTGATATTATTTTATGTGTATAGTATTGAATTTATGTTACTTTTGTATACAAGTATAATTACTAGTTTAATTAAAATTACTTTTGTTACATGCAATTACAAACAAAAATACAAAAATGCAGAGATCGTCATAAATAAACCCACAACATGTTTTATAAATAAAATAGATGTGGACATGAGATGAAAATTACTTATCTGTATTGCATTGCATATGTTCCTTAACTATATAAAGTGGAAAAAGAGTCATCACATCCATTAGAAGGTTAAATCAATCTATTGAAACAAAAAAAAAAAAAATTAGAGACACTCAGAAGCTTGCCTTTTGGTTAAAATCTGCTCAGGTTTCAAAAAATATTTTTGTCTCGAACATAAGTCTAGAACAAAAAAGACGACAAGTTGCCTCTGCACAAGAGATACAGCAATCCTGGACAATTGTTTCAGCCTTCTTTGAGCCTCATTAGCTAGGTGTAGTTAACACAACTCTAGGCACAGTGAGCACGGGGTCCACGTCTGGATGCCCTTTAAGCTTAGGGAGAGCCCTAACAAATTGCATTGCAACAAAAACAATATGAGAAGTCTGAAAATAGATAAAAGATTAAAGAAACTCAGTATCTTGCCCTACATTGCATGCATTCTCTTGCACTCTATTTGTAAAATCAATCGATTAGCTGAACTATAAGAAGCTGTTAAAGAGGATCTGTCACATCTATGGAATTTACATAATTAAATAACCAATAAAAATGACCCTTTTCCATGAGATCCTCTATTTCCTTTTACATTTATATTAAAGATTTAGAAAACAACATCACAATGCCTTAAAAGTTTGAACTAGCCGCAACATGCCTTAAAGTTTGATCTAGACCTACCCAAAGCTTCTGCAGCCTAAATTGCTATTTGATTGCATTACGATTGCACTATAGCTGTAATAGTCCTTCTCGCCGTTCACATATTGGTATTTTTGTAGAGGCTAAGGCTGTGCGCCTATCAGGGTTATTAACTAAAGTAAGAATTCAAGGCGAATTTCTAATTTAAGGTAAAAATAGACGAATTGGAAAAATTCTCTAAGCAAGCTTTCAGGTTAGCTACTCTGGCCTTAAATTATTAAATAACCCTGTATGAGCTCAAGCATGCCTCATGAAGATATTGCCACAATGTGGCTGCATAGACAGTCATCCATATAGCTGTATAACTTCTTATATGAGTTCATGCAGGAATGCGCCACAATCCTTAGACTCCAAATCATTGGCAGCATCTGCCTAGCAAACGCTCTGCGGCTCACAGTACAATCTCCTTATGCTCCAGTATTGCATTTCAGAAAAGTGCAATGAGCCACTGCCTAGTCCATTTATCAGAGTGGCATACTCTATAGCCTGCAGGCTAGCTCCTTCTCATCAGAGAGAAGTCATGGATGTGGTTTGTATCTTGCTGCTGTCAGCAAAAAACACAACATTTATCAGAAACATTAAGACATTCCTGCTAATTCTGACATTGGAAGTGCTGTATGAGCCCAGTTCTAATGGTCCTGCAAATTTATAGCAGCAATTTTCCATGCTATCAAAATACCATATCATGTGGAACATCAAGGAATGACATTTCTAAGCTTGATTCTGTAGAGTGGACCCGCCGTCCACAAACGCACAGCCGAAATGTTGCTTCAGAAAATGTTTAATTTGTATCCTTCATATATTCATTATTAAAACCTGAGACTACAGTATTGTCATCAGGGCAGGTGCTTCCTATCAGAGGCGGCTCTCTAACTAGGCGGTTTAGGGGGCCGCCTAAGGCCTCGCGCTGGCTGGGGCCTCGTGGACGCCTAAACCGCCTGAGGGCAGACTGTGTCGGGTCCTCGATCAGTGATCCCTCCTGGCTGCCCAGCCAGCCACCGCATACACTGGTCTGCAGCTTCGAAGTGAGCAGAGCTGCAGACCATGTGTCTCGCGAGAACTGGCCAATCAGAGCGTTGCCGCGGGTTACCACGGCAACGCTCTGATGGTCTCGCGAGATTACATGGTCTGCAGCTCTGCGGAGCTGCAGACCGGAAGTAATGGCCACCGGACCACCAGGGAATAAATCAAGGTAGGTTGTTTCCCCATCAGACCCCCCTCTCTCTCACATCAACCCCCCTCACCATCAACCCCCCTCACTCACCATCAACATCAACCCCCCTTCTTCTCACATCACCCCCTCCTTCTCATCACCCCCTCCCTCTCACATCACCCTCCCTCTCACATTACCCCATCCCTCTCACATCACCCCTCCCTCCCTCTCACATCACCCCCCTTCTCACATAACCCACTCCCTCACATCACTCTTCCATCCCTCATCACCCCCTCCCTCTCACATCACCCCCTCCCTCTCACATCACTCCCTCCCTCCCTCTCACATCCCCTCCCTCCACACATCACTCCCTCCCTCTCACATCATCCCCCTCCCTCTCACATCACTCCCCCCTCCCTCCCTCTCACATCACTCCCCCTCCCTCTCACATCACCCCTCTCTCTCTCACAGTTATTTTAGTATGATACTATATAGTATAAATGTATGGTATTCTGAAATCCTGCTTATGGAGTGAATCTTGTACTGAAAAAAACACTAAACCCACTAATTAACTTCTACATCAGCACCACCGACTTCTCACATCATATAAAAATACTTTATTTATATAAAATCAGTGCTATATGACGTGTTAGTGAAAGTGAGAATAATATTTAGGCATTTATTCTTCCACAGTAAGCCTTGTTTTTCTATGCATTTTATGCAGGGTAACAGAAAACCATAGGAAGTAGTAACATTTCATTTTTGTCCCTTCTATACGTTATATTATAATTTGTTTGCTTCCTTGGCAATCATTCACTGTGTGCCTGCTTCACTGACTTTAATAGCATTCTGCAGTATATACTGAGATTTATTCCACATGGGCAGCATGAGTTTAAGATCATGTCATTCTGCTGTTAAAGTAGAAAAAAACGGGGGCGGAGCCTGGCTGGGGAGCTGATCAGACGTGTGCAGCATGAGCTCTCGTCTGAAATCCTACTTTACTCGAAATAACCCCGGTTCTCATGCTACAAAATTGTTTAAAATTGCATCACCCAGGTAGGGGCTGCAAGGGAGAGCATACAGAGGTCACTCTTGAAACTCTGAGCCGCCAGGAACGCGGGCTGCACTGATGGGGCCTACCGCAACGACGACTAGCCTGAATAGCGGCCTGGACGGAGGTGAGGGCATGGGTGATGTGGCCAATCCCAAGGCCCGGACTCAAAAACTGCGGAGGACCACCCACGAGCCTTCCCCTCCCCCCCCACTGGTGGGGGATATCCCGGCACCAGCAGCATTCACGTCCCAAAGACTGCAAACACCACGAGTCCCTAACTCCAAAATGGCGGATACGACACGCCAGTCAGCAAACATGGAGACAAGTGGAAAATCGCCAAACGACACCCTGACTAAGCTAGATGCAATTTTTGCTGCCTTCTGGGCCAGGATTGCGAAGAGGACACTGAACACGGCTAAAGCTAAACGTACCACTCTTGCACCCACGCCACCGGCACTCCCAGGCCCCAAGAGCGGACGCAGAATGATAGCCGCCAGAGACTCCCCCAAAGAGACACCGAAAACGGGACCGGAGGCACAAGCAGAAACGTAGAGCCTTCACCATAACAAGCACTCACCCCCACTGTAAGCCGCAACAACCCCACAGCAGACCAGAGGCACCATGCTTGTCAGGCATGTCTCGTTATAGCAGGACTTTCACATTATGCCTTATATCACAGGAACTGACCGTTAGTTAAGCATAGAGTAACAGATTTTATTAAAATGTCTTTATTTTACCTCTCGCAGTTTACTACTGTAGTGCCTACCTTGACTCTACTCTAACAGCACATGCAATATTTTATTAGCCAGTCCTCACTAAAGGGGCAACTTAAGCTTGTACAAACTAATGGTGAAACTGCTGGTATTTCCCTGTAGTCGACAATGTGTAACCTCACTCTAACCATAAAAGCTGTCTAGTTTATCAATGCAATGTTAAATATTTAGAAGCCTCAGCACAACTAGCCTTGTTATATATATATATGTTTAGTCTAGCATGCTAATATATAAACCAGTGATGTTTAAAAGCCTGTTATAATCATGTTATTAAAAAAAAAAATTGTGCCGTTTCAACTGAAATGTAATGAAAAATGCCTGCAGATGATATCGTGGCTATGCTCGCTTGTTGTCACTTTTTGCACAAAAAAAATAAAGATTTTTTTTTTTAAAAAGTAGAAACAAACAGGTTGTCTTTGTTCAAGAAAATAGCATGTAAATGGAAAAAAGCAAACAGTTGATTTTAATATTTCTGCTACAATTTCTTCCTTATAGGCTAGAGGAAACGGCCAACCCAGTCCTTGTTCATCACTTAACCCCATGCGTTTAAAGGCCAGAATTCTTCATTTACCTATTTTGCACAAAAACATTCTGTAAGATAGAGAAGGGAAAAAAAATGTATGTAAAATGGCTTACTCTACAGAAAAAAATATAAATTAATTGATATACGTTTGAGAACTTGAAACAGATTGCACACAATCTAGTGTGTTAAAGGGAGCAAACACCTCTAGGGTGCACAGCATGTCATAAACATTCCTTATCACAACCCTAAGATCTCATTCCTGCTTCCTCCGAAATGCTGCTAGTTTTATATTGTCCTGGCACAAGGCTCTGTCTCTTCCACGTCCAATTATCACATTACAGGAAGCATTTAACAAATCACCTCACAACTGAGATCAGCAGAATAGTTTCTAACTTTCAATGACTGTTTCACACTTCATAATCATGGCCTTGAAACAATGTGTTTGAGTCCCCTGTCTAGCCAGAACGTCTGAAGGTTCTACTAGAAGGCTGGCAAAGCATGATGGTCATTTCTGTTCTACAGACACCAGAAGCCTACATGTTGTTTAGAATTGATCTATACATTTATGCTGTTAAAACACCATGTAAAAGCCTTCACGTTTCTCAACAATTAGAGGATTAAGTGCACTGAAATGTAACTCTTCCTATGCTGCACAAGTGGAAGGCCTTTCTTAAATGTTTTTTTGGTTTTTTTTTGAAAGCCTCTAACACTCAGAAGAGTTAAATGGACCATTTTTTAAAAGCACTGGATGTTTTCTTAAGGAGAGGTCTTGGCATTGCACATCATATTCAATTGTGTGATGAACCTACAGCTCTCCTGCTGGTAATATCTCCATTAGAATTATAGCTATCGACTGTTTTTAAGTACAGTACATTTGATAGCAAGTTGCTTGAAATAAGCTGATTTTTTTCATCCTAATGGTTTCTCCATCGCTGCAATCAGATCAGGTTAGCTGAAGAGAAAGGCTTGCTATGTTCTCAGGAGTATGTTATAGAGTTCCGGTGATTTATTGAAAAGAAGACGTGGGCTTAGTAATGTCATCTGTAAACTTTACTGCCACCATCTACGCAATACTGTTTCCCTGGTTGCTAACAAAACAGCTTCTCTGCTTAATGGCTTTACCAGAGGCACTTAACATTACTTAAATATAATCTAATTTCTTCCTTTGGATTACTGGTGTTATACCATCTTCTGTAATTTTTGTGCAGGGAAGGGTTTATGTTAGCCCAGTTGCCAATTCCTCTACAACAGTATGTGTGAGGGGAGCACTGTGTGTGTTTGAGATGTGCAGTGTGTGTGCTGAGTGCAGTGTGTGAGGTGTGCAGTGTGTGAGGGGAGTAGTGTGTGTATGTAAGGAGTGCAGCATGTGAGGGGTGCAGTATGGGAAGTGTGCAGTGTTGTGTGAGGAATGCACTGTGTGAATGTGTTTGGAGGTATTGTGTGTGAGGGGTCAGATGGTAGCAATGCAAATATATATATTTTTGATGAATAAATTAAACTTTATATCCCCTTTTCCTTCTTACCTTTGACCCGGGAGGAGGGTGGTCTGGGGGTGAGTGAACTGCATCTCCTAGGGATAGAGTTTACTCTTGTGAAATCTGGCCTGTTGGAGTGTTGCCCTGATAACTGTAGAGGCTGTTACCCTCCTCCCCTCCCCCCCCAAGTTCTTTTATATGCTTTTATGTTACTTAAAGGTATAGTGTGTTATATATCAAGGTAACACATTATACCTTTAAGTAAAATCAAAGCATATTAAAGAACTTTGGCAATCAAGAAATTATACCACATATGAGTACAGGAAATGCTCTTCCATGACGAATAATGTATTATACCTTTAACCAACCACAATCTGCAACGAGAACACAATGGATATAAAAGATTTAAAATCCTGTTATCTCTCCATCTTGAAAAAGCACGCGAAGATTGGGCGAAACACGTAGAGTGGATAACAGGCTATAACTGATGCCAGCTTCAGTGATTTTTGGAGCAGTTTATCCCACAAGTGCTCGTCTGGTCGGAGAAACTTTTTATTGTGGCTGGGATTCTGGCATTCAACGGATCCATCTGGCTACATTAAGTTACAATCCAGACATCAAAGCATCATCACTATCACTTCTTTCTATAAATCTGCACCGCGGTTAAGTCTCCCATTGCCATAAAGGACCTTGCTGCTATTGAAGGAGTGGACTTTACGGAAACTTTCTGCTTTTCATACATCCCTGACTTTGCTGTAGTCATAACTGAACATCTGTCTTAATCCAAAAAAAAATTGTAATTTGTTTTTACTGTCTATAGAGTTTTTATAAAGGTTAGGTATATGTTTTTATGCAAAATAAATGTTAAATATATCATAACCACTGTCCCATCCTATATACCCTAATTTTTAAACTCACTTTATGTGATACACCTTTAGGAACTTAATACAAATTCACTCTGCACAATATTAAGACTATACCTATAACAGGACCCAGTATAATTTACCCTGGGAATAATCCACTAAGCGCCGACACTTTTACTTGACCTATATGTTTAAGATTTTGGGAATAATCTTCTCTGTTTTCAGCAGCTATTATCATTTTTTTTTTTATTTATATCACCATTTAAATATTGAGTATTTTTTTAGCTCTTTTGATAATTTTTTAGATAATATTTGGATGGACACTTAAATCAATAGGAATTCTAACCTTTGTTTTTTCTTCTTAGAATCCGATTGTTACACTAAAGGGAAATAAATCGTCATCAGCTAGTTCCACTAGAACAGAGAGTATTTCTTTATCCAGAGGATTGTCAAAATATTTAGGGACATCGCCCACCTTATTAATACTCCAGATAGGGCTGGATACATTTTGTAGCCACTTACACAGCTCAAGGCCTGGGCCCCTGGTGCCCATTCTGTGTCACCTACAGGGCTTGCCACTCTTTCCACCACCATCTCACAGCCACTTAGAGCTGAGGTAGATGGTGCAGTGTACATTTGAAGGGGATTTAATGTGTGTAGAGGGGTAGGTGGAATATCAGTACTTGCAATTGTAGTATGTGGCTGCTGAAACTTCCCAAAAACCAGAGTCTCTTCTTTTCTGGTGGTATAATGGATGTAGGTAGTAGGATCAGGGAGCAGAGCCTGTGAAGGAATTCCCACGCTCAGAGCAATATGGAGGAGGGAAGGAAAAAGACACGGATATACTGTAGTATATTGAGATCTTAAGTGATGGTAAATGAAGGTTAAGGAATTGCAGTTACAATTTTCTGGAGCCTAAACTCAGCTCCAGATATGTGCGCCTGGACAGTACATGGATATGTAGATGGTCCTTGGATGTCCTCAAAAAGGGGGTCTCCAGTGATGGTAGGGTATATCTCCTTTCCAATGGCAGTAGGTCGGTATTCAAATAGTTGGTGATATATAAAAAGGATAAAAACACAAAATAGTGCTCTCTGGCTAATACAAAATAAAATGATTAAAAAAAAAAATGGAGGTATACTCACAAGTGAAGAGCAAACAGGATATTGCTAAATATATGTAGGCGTAGGTGGTATGATCCCCACTAAGGATATCACTACTCGAGTCCTCCAGTGGGGGTGTTGGAGAGAGTAAAAGGAATTATATTATAAAAGAAAATAGAATAAAAAGGCCCCAATAGCATAAATGAGCTATCTTTATTGGAGATAAAAAAAAAATAGTAACATAAAACAGCTTTAAAAAACACTAATGCGTTTCTCCTGCAAAGAGGCTTTATCAAAGTGTGAAACGCGTTAGTGTTTTTTAAAGCTGTTTTATGTTACTGAGTGCTCTCTGCCCAGCTCCCTTGCACGCCGCTTACTGATGCTGGAGCCGGAATATGACGGCATATTCCGGCTCCAGCATCAGTAAGCGGCGCGAGGGAGCTGAACAGGAGGATCTCAGTGCTCCCTCGCGCGCCAACAGGACCGGCCTCCCAGCAACACCACTGGACCCCAGGGAATCCCCTCAGCACTCCAAAAGGTAGGGAGGCTGGGGGATCACATTACAAAAAAAAAAAACGTGTTTGTGTATGTGTGTTAGTGTTAGAGTGTGTGTCTGTGTGTGTTAGTGTTAGTTTTTGTGTCAGTGTGTGTGTTACTGTGTGTCTGCTAGGGAGTGTCAGTGAGTGTGTTAGTTTTTGTGTGTGTGTTAGTTTGTGTGTGTCTATTATTAAGTGTGTGTCTGCTAGTGAGTGTGTGTCAGTGTGTGTGTTAGTTTGTGTGTCAGTGAGTGTGTGTGAGTGTGTGTTACTGTGTGTGTCTGTTACTGAGTGTGTTAGTTTGTGTGTGTCTGTTAGTGAGTGTGTGTTTGTCAGTGAGAGTGTATGTTTTGTAAGTGAGTGTGTATGTGGGTCTGTCTGTCAGGGAGTGTGTATGTATGTATGTCGCTGTGTGTGTCTTTGTCAGTAAATGTGTGTGTCTGTTAGCTAGTGTGTATGCATCTGTTCGTGAGAGTGTGTGTGTGTTTAAAACCCCTTCAGCACTTACCTTTCTCCAGCGCCAGTCTACCTTGGCGCTGGGGATCCCTCCTGTCAGTGAGACAGCCACTAGAGGCTGGAATAACCCCCAGTGGAACATAGCAGTTTCTCTGAAACTGGTATGTTTTCAGCTGCAGGGTTAAAACTAGAGGGACCTGGCACCCAGACCACTTTATTGAGCTGATGTGATCTGGGTGTCTGTAGTGGTCCTTTAAGTGTGTGTGTATCTGCATGCACTAGCATACATACCGCGGTCGTAGGGGTCGCAGCCGTGCGACCAGGTGCCTGCTGCCATGTGTTGTGGCCCCGGCCCGCGTAGAGTAAGCGCAGAGGAG